CTGGGAAGCCTCCAGGGCCAGTGTGAGGCTAGTGCTCACATTTCCTGAGGAATACAGAGTGAGGGCGATGTTGAGAGCCTGTGTCCACTGTCCCGTTGGCCTCAAGAGAAGGTTTGGAGAAGCCACACTGCCCAGAAATGTGGGTCATTTCTGGATATAGATGAGACTTGGTCCCCCTACCCTGAGATCACAGAGCATAGCTTTGCAGAGGAAGCTCTAGCTGGACCTGGGACAGTTTGACTGGCTCTATGTTGGAGATTGGGGCATGGGAAAGGGCAGGAAGCCTCAGAGATGACTGCGGTAGCAGGGGCTAATGTCTACTGAGCCTTTACTCTGCGGTGCCAGGCACTGTTCTAGGCACTTCACATCCATCACTGTATCCTTTGATGCCCCAGATAGCGGTCAAGACAGGTATCCCCAGTGTCCTGGTAGAGCCTCTGAGGCTAGTACAGTGAGTACGTGGCAATGCGAAATTGTAGACTTGCCTTGGCCAGGGAGTGCCAGCTGGGAACTGCAGGTGTTCGGGGTGTTGAGCCGCAGAGGTGGCTGGAGCTTTTGGTCTGGGCTGTGGCTGAGTGCTGACAAGGACCCCATCTGTGCCCCTGTCCCCTAAGAGCTGCAGAAATGGGGAACGGGGGGTGGCTGCAGCGGGGCTGGGCTCCAGTGGGGAGCGGCAGCATTGGAGGTCAGTCCTGGCATTGCCCCTGAGAGCCTGTGCAGGGAGCCAGGACAGCCTCCGCTTCCTGCCGCCGCCCCCAGCCTGGGAATTCACCTGTGCCTGGAGCTGGAATGATTTGGCCCATTTATTCTTTTCTTTCTTTCTTTCTTTTTTTTTTTTAAAGATTTTATTTATTTATTTGAGAGAGTGAGTGAGTGAGAGAGAGCACAAGCTGGGGGGCGGGGGTACTGGGAGCGGCAGGCAGAAGGAGAAGCAGGCTCCCCGTGAGCAGGGAGCCCGATGCAGGACTCGATCCCAGGACCCCGGGATCATGACCTGAGCTGAAGGCAGATGCTTAACTGACTGAGCCACTCAGGCGCCCCCCATTTTAAGCATTTTTAAGGGCATGGTTCCAAGGCATTAAGTATATTAATGTTGCCTTTAATGCTTCTGAGGAAACTGAGTCTCAGAATGGTTATGTTTGCTCCAGATTGCACAGCTCATAAAGGCAGACTGAGATTTGAACCCTGACCTCAGAGTCCAGCTCTCTTTCCACAATATCAGCTGCCTACAGTTACCTGCCCTGAGTCTGGGACCCAACCTGAAAGCTCCTCTTGCTGTCTGGCCAATAGTGGCATTTCCTGGGGTAAGAGAAGGCCTGGCAGGCCCTGGGGGCCCATGCCTGCCTCCCCCTTTGCCGCAGGAGCTGAAACAACTGGAGTAATCCAGGGTAGATTGGCCCCTCCTCCTCACCTCTCTTTCTCTTGCAATCTGGGATGATAAAACTTGGCAATTTCCTCACCCCCTTCCCCAAGCCTGAGCAGCTCAGCTTCTCCTAAAACACAGGTCGAGTGAGTATCAAGTCTGCAGCCGACCCCAGGCGGACTCCTTCACCCAACACGTTCTGTTCTGCTCCTAACGCCTGGGGAGGGGCTTGGGTGGGGCAGGGGGTGCTGCTCCCAGGGGCCCGGGTGGCAGCCCTGCTGTCTCCAGCCCACAACACTCATTCCTGCCTCCCCCTCAGCAGGATAGGGGGCATGGTGGGGTGGAGGTCAGCTGCCACCTTCTGCCCCCAGGCCAGGGGACCAGAGACCAAGCGCTTTGGAGACCACTCAGAGCAGTTCCAAGCTGAGATGATTTCTACCTCCTAGACTGGCAGGTGGTCTGATGGAGCTTAGAGAGCTTTTGAAGTCATCTGAGTGGGCAGTTTTCAAACGACCCAAGGAAGTGCCCCTGGGGTGACCCTGGGGTTTGAGGAATGGCTGCCCAGGGGGGCTCTCTGTGGCCACCTTCTGTGGCAGGACCCATAGCAGTCCTGTTTTTATCTTTCTTCTATTCAAGATTCTAAGTAAGGTTCTCTTCTCTTCTCTTCTCTTTCGAAGTTTCTCTTGCTTGAAGAAGGGGGTTTGAAAAAGCACTGACATTTTCCCCCAGATAAATAAACAGGGGCTTGGTGAGGACCTGCCCAGTTACTCGGGGTTAGTGGCTGCCGCACGACTGGGGCAGAGGTCTCCATTCCTGACCGGGGCTCCTTCTACTCTACAAGCTCTTGCTTCTTTGGATTCTGAGCAGCTTTCATGGTGGAGGGTGATCTGGAACCCCCCTCTCTCTGCCTCTTGGCCAGCTGCTCCCAGCCCTGCTTCCGAGGCCCCGTGCCTGGCTCCCACACGCCCGTCTGCAGCTCTCCCAGGCTCCCTCAGCACCTTTGCTCTCAGCCCCCATCTGCGTCTCTCGCTTCACCAGGGATGTCTGCATGTGCAAGTGTTGGGGCTGTTGCCGCTCCTGCGGCATCTCACATCAGGCTGCTGCCACCCGAGTCCTGTCCCCAGGGAGGGAGGGAGGGAGCCAGGGGCAACGCCAGACTTGGGAGCAGCCTGGGAGTAGGGAAGCCACAGCACCCTGCAGTGAGATCGAGAAGAGGGAGAGAAGCGGCTAGGGAGGCTAAGACACACACACACACACACGCACACACACGCACATATGCACGCACGCGCGCGTGGGAGGAAGGCAGGGTGAGACTGAGCTGAGGGCAGTGGAGACAGACTCACAGATGGGAGAGACTTGGAGAGGAAGACCCATAAAGATGGACACAGGAGCAGGACACAGAGACACAAAGATAGAAAGGTGGTTTGTGAGAGACGGGAAGGAGGAAGAGAAACGGAGACAGGCCTGGCAGCAGACAAGAGGTCTATTAGCGACAAGGAAATGTCAGCCTGCCTGGAGCTGGGGCCCTGTCACAGTGAGAGATGCGCTGCGCGTTCGGTCTGGCACCGGGTCCAGCTGATGGATGTGGGGCGGGTCCTGTTGCCGGCGGCCTGTCACATCCCCTCTCTGCCTCCTTCCAGAGCTGGGCCTGGCTTTCCTTCAGTGCCCTCCAGATGAGCTGGGCATGGCAACCCCAAGAGCGTGCTATTGGGAGGTGGCCTTGTGCAGATGCCTCTGCTGAGAACAGTCCGCTCCTGTCCATTGGGGCTTGCACTGAGGCAGAGGGATGGACACGCTGGCTTGCTCAGAATCCCCTGCCAGTCACAAATGGGGAGCTTGTTTGGGACCTGATAGATTGAGGGGCCCCAGAAGGTAGCAGACATAACAAAGGTATGAGGGGATAGCAAATCAGGGTGGGGGGGGATACTGGTTAGGTCTTGCCTTCCCAGGATGGGAGACCAACATCCAGGGTTCCCCTCTCACCAGCCCCCAAACCTGCCTCCTGGTGCTGGCATGAGAGAAGATTCAGGGAGACTCCCAACGGAGCCCCAGAGGCGCGGGCACCACCACGCTGTCCCTTCTGGCTCTGGACTGAGCCTTTTCTTCCCCTGCCTGGGGGACGGGGCCTCTGCAGGCTCTTTGCCAGCACATTTGTGGAGCAGAGACCTGGGGTCTGGGGGCTATGTGGCAGGGAGGGAGTCCTCCGGGGGCCCCTGCCTCTAGCGTTCATAAGAGTTTTGGCCCCATGGTCGCAGAGGCAAGGGGTGGTTCAACCCGTTCCCCCTTCCGTCTTGGCTGCCTCATCTGTAAAATAGAAGGCCCCATCCTGCCCTGAGTGGGCATGAAGCACAGCCGTGGGCACGGGGTTCTGTGGGCAGTGGAGCTTGGGGCTAGCCTCAGGCAGTGGCTGGCTCTTCTCTGTCAGGGTTTGCCCCATGTCTCGGCTGCGTAGCATGGAGCTAAGGACCAGGAGACCCTCTGGAGCACCTGTTTACTCACCAGGCAATTCTCAGCACCTCCTGGGTGCCGGGCCCTATGCTAGGTGCTGGAGACAGCAGTGATCAGGCCAGGGAAAGCCCTGCACCAGGAGAAGTGGCAGAACAAGGATAAGACCCTGGCAGATTGTCACAAGCTCCGGGTCCCCGTCATAGAGCTAAAGCAAGACTGCTGTGCCTGGGGGGAGCAGGGGGGTGCTCTGAGAAGAAGGACGGGGGACTTCTGAGCTGCTTGTTGGAAGGACTGGGGAGGGGAGAGCTAGGTGTAAGGCCCCGAGGTGGGACCTGGCTGCCTCACGGAGGGACCTAAAAGAAGACCGGGGTGGTGGTGGTGGTGAGCCGTGCCTGCCTTGTCAGAGGAGCCTCGGGGCCCGGAGCTCAGGAAGAGCTGGGGGGGCCGCCCCGCAGGGCCTGGACTGGAGGCTCTGGAACGGAGGGCTGTGATCAGTGTTTGGAAAACCTTTCTCTGTGCAAGACGCAGCCTGGAGACTCACCCCCTTGGCTGTTGTAACACCAGGGGAGCGGATGGTAGTTGGGCCCGACATTGGGGGGGGGAGCTAGGGAGAAGGGACCAGGATGTCCTCCCTCCATACCCACTGTCCCAGTGCAGAGCACTCAGAGATGCTGCTCTAGGAAGTCCCTCCCAGTTGCCATGGATCAGGGGGGTGGGAGGGTAGGGCTGGCTGCTGGGAGGGAATGTGGCTTTGTGCTTGGCAAACAAAGAACAGAGCTGGGGCCCTCTTCTCCTGGGGGGGTGGGCAGGCTGAGAGGCTGTTGACAGGACCAGTGGCTGAACCACGGGGTTGGGCTTGGCAGGAGCAGGCTGTGCCCTCAAGCAGCGGGGAGGAGCCCACAGCCCTCCAAGGGTGAACCGTGGGGTCGCTGGGCTTTGCGGGGGGGCGGGGGGGCGCGGGGAGGAGGAATGAGAGAGAGGGATGCTCCAACCCCTCCAGCCCAGGAGTGGGGCTGCTGGAGAGAATTTGAGCTTAGAGGGCCTTGGGCTGCCCTGGGGTTGGGATGTGAGAGGGGGCAGATGTATTTGGGAGCAAACAGTGTCCCCGGCGGGTTGGGGGAAGGAGGTTAACGGGACCTCCAGGCCCTCAACATGCGTGACCGGACCCAGCCACCCTGCCTCCCTGCAGCCTTGCAGCTGAGGCCTCGCCTTCCCCGCCGTGTGGTGGGGGCCCACCAGGATGAACAAACTGTCTGCGGAGCTGGCCCGCGACTTGGAGCGCAGCCTGCCAGCCGTGGCCTCCCTCAGCTCATCGTTGCCCCACAGCCAGGGCCTCTCCTCACACTTCCTCCCCCCTCCTCCGGAGAAGCGCCGCGCCATCTCTGATGTCCGCCGCACCTTCTGTCTCTTTGTCACCTTCGACCTGCTCTTCATCTCCCTGCTGTGGATCATTGAGCTGAACGTGAGTGGGCCCAAGGCTGGGGCCAGGGCGGGGGCGGGGGGGTCACCTGGGCCTTACTCCAGCTGCCACACGGGAGGGTGGTCTCTGTGGCCGGGTGAATTTCCCGGTAAAATGAAGAATGGGAAGATAGGAGCAGCCGTTCTCATCTTCCGAAGAAAAGGGAGCTCAGAGGGCTGGAGTCATTTGTCTAAGATCCTTCAGCCAGTAGGTGAAGAAGGGCGGAGTTTGAACCCAGACCCTCAGGCTGCAGCGTTCCCACTCCTGACCGCTGCGCCAGACTGCCCTCTAGTGGGCACTCCTGAGGAAGCAGGAGAGAGCCCAGGGGACGGGGGTCCTACTGTTGAACCTTTTTGTCTTCTTTCTGGCCTGTGTTGCTCTCTGACTCCATTCATTCATTCATTCATTCATTCACTCACTCTGTTAGCAGTTTTGGAACCCCTGCTGTAGTCCAGGCATTGTGCTAAACGCAGAGGGTATCTGCGGGGCAAACCAGTAAAAACTCCCAGTTCCTGGTGGTGCCTAGTTCTCCCTCCCCATTGTGGACACAACTCCAGTGCCCCCCAGTTTGGCCTCTGCAGGCTTGGTGAGATGCCGCTTCACAGCCTGGAGGTGGAGCCGCCTCCCCGTGCTGCATCTGCACCCTCCTCCCCGCTGGGCGGCGCTTGGCCAGCTGGTGGTGGCACCTGATCTCCAGGCACTGACAGGCCGGAGCAGGACCCCACCACAGAGGCAGGAGCCGAGAGAACAGAGCATCCCAGGCTCCGTTGGTCCCAGCTGCTCCTCTGTATTCACTGGGGGATGTCAGCGAGGGACTCGGCTTGCCTGAGCCTTCCCTTGTTTTCCTTCTGCAGACTGGGTCAGAGTTCAGGGTAGCAGGTGCCCTTCCTCCCGGCCTCAAGCTCGGGTGACAGGAAAACGATGACTTTGTTGATAGAAGTGAGGAGTTGGGGGAGGGGCTGGTTTAAGGGTGAAGAGGACAAGTTTGATTCTGGGCGTGTTCGGCTGGAGGGCTCTGGGGGTGACTCTCCTTTGTGCACAGAGATGAACTGGCACCTTCAACAAGGTTGAGCCATGGGGGACCTTAGGGACCATCTTATCAGTGAGAAAGCTGCGGCCCCACAAGGTCCAGGGCTGTTTGAAGAGCTTCTGATGTCTTAGGCATTATTCCTTTTTAACAACATTTTTTTTGTTTTAAGATTTATTTATTTTTTTGCGAGAGAGAGAGAGACACACACGCACAGAGACAGAGCCTGAGACCCGGGGAGTGGGGGGAGGAGCAGAGAGAATCTCAAGCAGACTCTGCGTTAAGTGCAGAGCCCAATCAGGGGCTTTATCCCACCACCCCAAGATCACGACCCAAGCCGAAACCAAGAGTCAGATATTCCGCCAACTGCATCCCCCAGGCACCCCGTGAAGCATTCTTTCTTGTGAAGGTCCCATCCAGCATCAAAGCAAGCACTAAAAGTCACCCACAGCTCTCATTCAATATATATTTTCTTGCCAGCAGACAGCTGAAAAAATTTTGATAATTTTATTTTTGAAATTATCCAGATGTACTAGCTCTAATAGCTCAGGAGTCCTCGTGCATACGTGGGAATTCTTGCAAGTAGGGAAAAGTCTGATCTCCAAATTGTTTTCAGATGTGGTGAAAAGTTCAGGCTGCTAGACTTAGCCGTTAGTTGAGTTAGCCATCATGTTTCACTTGGCAGATACGCAATTAAAATGTGATTAATTTTCGGCTTTGTGGTTTTATTTTCATATCTCGGAGCATATATGTTTCTAGTTCGTGAACAGGCTGGGTGTCGCCCGGTGGCTACAAGGGCCCCAGCAGGGTGACAGGAGCCATGCAGGGTCTTGCGGCCAGAGGCTGGCAGCGGCCGGGACTTGGCTCCCTTGAGTCGGGACGCTGTCACCATCGGCGCCTGCACGTGCCCAGGCAGGGGGAGCCGTCTGAGGGGCCGCAGCTGTTAGGGATCAGCGGGACCGTGGAGCCCAAGAGGGGGGCAAGGGAAGTAAGAGGGGGCCCAAGCTGGGGGGGGGTCGGGGGGGCGTGTGAGACTGCACGGGACCCAGGGCGCTCTTGAGGTCAGAGCACACGGTGGGGATGTGCAGGGGCGTTCACATGTCAACGAGGGGGCTGCCCAGACTGCTGGCTTCTGCTCTAAGCACCAGAATCACCTGGGAGCTTTATAAAAATTCCAGCTGCTCAGCTCACGCCGAGATTCGGACCCAGTGGTCTAAACATCTGTATCGTAATCAGCACCACCCCACGCCTCAGTTTGGATCACTGCCAGGGGTTAGAAGCTCCCATCTAGGTGGTTGTGAAGGGTCTTCACTTTTCAGCCTCCTGGGCTCCATTCCCCAGAGTCCTCTTGTGTCTTCCCTCCTCCGGGGGCCTGGCAGAAGCTGAGGCCTGCCACCCCACTCCTCCTGAGAAGTCAGGCTGCAGTCTGGCTCTCAGTATCCGCCCAGATCCTCTCCCCGCCCCCCCAGCCAAGGTGTCAGGAGTCCCATTGGAAATGTATGGGTAGCTGGGGCGGGGACGGGGGTGAGGACAACTCTGCTCACTCTGTCTCTGTTGCTAGCCGTTCCCTCTAGCAGCGTGATGGATTTTGCCCATTAAGCACAAACCTAATCAACTGATTTACCACCTGGGGCTCCGTCTGACACTGCTGCCCACCCCCAGTCCCTATCACCCCAGATGGATGGTTGGCTGGGAAGATGGAGCACCGTCATGGAGAGAGGGAGATGAGATTTTTGTGAAGGGCCGGCTCCCAGCACCCAGTTGGCAACCCTGCCTGCCTGCATGGGGCCTGTTGCCTCTCCGGCACAGCCCCAAGGCCCTCCAAGCCTCCCCCTCCCTGGGCAGTGTGCCCACAAGTGTCAGTGCTGGAGCCAGGCCTTGCCCGTCGGGGTTGCCTGGGTGCTTGGGGGAACGATACTAGTGCTGGGGTCTCAGGCCTTGGCTGGGCTCCCGTGGTGCTTTGGGGCCTTCCTTGGGCAGTGGCTTATCATCTCCAGGTTCCACACTACCCCTGCCTCCTCCCTATTCCCAGAGGTGAGGGCACCCCTGGGGACTCGGTTCTGCCTACAGAGCTGCTCGTATCTCCCTCTTCCAGACCAACACAGGCATCCAGAAGAACCTGGAGCAGGAGATCATCCACTACAACTTTAAAACTTCCTTCTTTGACATCTTTGTGAGTGGCCTTAGGGAAGGGGTCCCGGGGGCAGAGATGGTGCAGGGACATGACCTCTTCTTTCTGCAAGACACCTTCTAGTCTGGTCAGGGAGACTTTACTCCCATCCTCAGGGGGACCTCAGTATTCGGAAAGTTCCTAATCAAGGCCCTCCCTTCAGAGAGCCTCAAGTGTGAGAGGGAAGAATAGACCCCTGTCCAAGAACGTCACATCTAAATCATCCACTAAGAAACACTGACTCAGCCATTCCCTCCTGAGGCATCACACCCATGTAGAGGGAACCTGGGGGAGCAGGACCGGAGTGGGGGGTCAGCCTTCAGCTGGAGCGGGGGCATTGGCTTGCCTGTGATGGCTTGTGTGTCCCCTGCACCGCCCCCCCCCGCCCCCGCCAGGTCTTGGCCTTCTTCCGCTTCTCGGGACTGCTCCTGGGCTACGCCGTGCTGCGGCTCCGGCACTGGTGGGTGATTGCGGTAAGATGCCCTTCTGGCAGCTCGAGGGCCCTGGCGGGGCTGGTGTGAGGGACGGTGTAGAGGAGGACTCACTCCCCAGCCCGTTTTCCCTCTCTCCCTCCTTCCCTCCCCTGGGCAGGTCACCACGCTGGTGTCCAGTGCATTCCTCATCGTCAAGGTCATCCTCTCCGAGGTCAGTGGCTCAGGGTCAGGCTGGCCTGGTGGGCCTCTTGCCGGAGGAATGGGCTTCTCCTAAGAAGGGACCCTTTCTCTGACTTGGGGCGTCTGTCCCTGTGTCAGGTTGGGGTGAGGGGGAATCCTGCCCTTGATATTTCTGAGGAATCATCTTCACTGGCTTCCTCCACCTGTCCCTCTGCAACCCCAAGAACAAAAAATTCTTCTGCCAGCCTAACCTCAGTTTATCCTGCTGCTGAATTCATTCATCCATCTCAGATGCATGTGCCACAGAGGGTCCCCAAGCAGCTGGCCCCAGGAGTGGGGTGTATGCCAGAGCTAGTAGCCCCTAGAGGGGACTCTGCGTTTGGGGTTACCCCCTGCTGTGGAGCTCAGCCCCCTTCCTCCACAGCTGCTCAGCAAAGGGGCGTTTGGCTACCTGCTCCCTATCGTCTCCTTTGTCCTTGCCTGGTTGGAGACCTGGTTCCTTGACTTCAAAGTCCTACCGCAGGAGGCCGAGGAGGAGCGATGTGAGTCCTGGGGAAGGGGTGCAGGGAGGGTCATCGCAGCCCCAAGAGAGGAGAGTTTCGGGTATGAGAGCCAGTTCTGAGCTATCTTGCCAACTCTGAACAGCCTCCCAGAACCTAAGGGTGAGCTTGGAGTTGGGGGGCCCCAGGCTGCTAAAGCGTGACTGCCCTTGTTCTGGGACAATGGCTGCCTGTGTCTGCTCCCCCAGGGTATCTTGCTGCCCAGGCTGCTGTCGCCCGTGGACCTCTACTCTTCTCTGGCGCTCTGTCCGAGGGCCAATTCTATTCACCCCCAGAATCCTTTGCAGGTGAGGGTTGGTGGGTGGGAAACTGCTTCAGCGAGGGTCTTTATGAGAAGTGGGTTGGCTGGGTCTGTTTGTCCTGTTCCTTCTTCCAGCTCCCTGGGGAACGGGAGCACCTCTCTCCCTCTCTCCCCCCCGCGGCCTTGTACCCCGCTACCTCCCCACAGTCTGTCCCCACACCTTCCTGTCGTCATCTGTACTTGTTTTCCGCAGGGTCTGACAATGAATCCGATGAAGACATTGGGAAGAAAAGCTTCTCTGCCCAGGTATTTGGCTGCCTGCCCCCACCTGACCTTTGGAGTGGGCACCCTGGAGAAGGTGCCAGTGCTGGGCTTAGCCAGGGTGGGCAGGGGCCTCCCCAAAGAGGGTGGACCTCAGGTGGCCCAAATGCCAGTCAGCATGCACCTGAGTGTCTGTCCCACCGTCGGTCAGGCCCGCTGGGCCGCCTCATACTGGGGCCTAAGGGGGGCGGCTGCGGCCACAGCACCTGGGGCCCCCCACAGGGCCTGAGAGACCAACCCAGACTCCATGTGTATGGAGTTATCTGGAGAAAGAACTGGCCACGAACAAGGGGGCAGGCGGGCCCCAGGCTGATCCTGTCCTGCCTCTCCTCCCGGGCCAGGAACGGGAGTACATCCACCAGGGGAAGGAGGCCATGGCGGTGGTGGACCAGATCTTGGCCCAGGAGCAGAACTGGAAGTTTGAGAAGAACAATGTAAGAAAGCTCTCTCCCACCTGACCTGCCCATGTGTGTCGAGAGTTTTTGCTTTCTCTTCTGAGGCCCGAGAAGCCCAAGGATGGCCCAGGTCGGAACCATATTCCTGTGCCAGGAGAGGGGGCTGGGCCCCGGGGTCGCCGCTTGGCAGGAGGTGGGGCCGGATTGGATGTTTCCATGGTGCCTTCCCCCTGCTGCGCTGCCCCGTGCCCACCCTTGGCTCCCTGTGCTCTGCTCGTTCAGCTCCAGCTTCAAAGGGGAAGCCAGGCTTCGGCCTTGTGTCCAGTGTATTGTTTCATGAGCAAAACAACATTATCTAAAGAGATGGCAGTGAGCTTGGAGAATGGGGGACACGTCGCCGTCCCTCTGGGTGGCCAGCCCCTCGGGCGGCCGTGGCCGGCCTGGAGACACAGGTTTTCGTGGTCGTGGCTACAGCTGTGCTTCTGTCCTTTAACTTGATATCAAAAGCCTTTCTCTCCTCATTGCTGGACATTTGTCAGAACCACTGTTTTTTAATGGCTGCCTGAATATCGCTGAAGTCCTGGAGTTTTCTACCCTGAGCTATTACGAAGCTGCCCTATCAGGGCGCCCATTCCTTCCCCACCAGCCCACCCCGCGTACCCTCCCCCTGCCCTCCGCCCACCTCCCTGTCACCCTTCTGTCTCTGCCACAGGAATATGGGGACACCGTGTACACCATCGAGGTTCCCTTTCACGGCAAGACATTCATCCTGAAGGTGAGTGAGGGAAGCAGGTGTCCTGGAGGGTCCTGGAGCCTCCTGCTCTGTCTGAGGTTTCAGCAAGGGGCTGAGGGGCCTTCTGGCAGGTTTCTCCCCACCAAGAGGGAAGGGCTGCTGTGCCCAAGCATGTCTGGCCCCACCCAGCCCTCTGCCCGCCCTGCCCCAGACCTTCCTGCCCTGCCCTGCCGAGCTGGTGTACCAGGAGGTAATCCTGCAGCCGGAGAGGATGGTGCTATGGAATAAGACCGTGACCGCCTGCCAGGTGAGCCAGTCCGGGGCGCCCAGCCTGGCCATCTCTCAGGGCAGGGGCAGAGCAACATGGCAGGTCAGGTGCAGTCATCCCCCAGCACTACCATGTCATAGAACTGCTCCGTGCCTCAGCTTCCCTGTCTGTACAATGGGGCTGATGGTAATGGCGCCTTCTGGAGAGGGTCGGGAGGATGGAGAGGGAGCACACAGACAGAGCCCAGCCCTGGGCCTGGGAGTGGCTCTTAGTAAAGGGACCTGGACAGAGAGGAGGCTGGTCTGGGGGTTCCCTGAGGCGCTGGGACCCTTTCCCTGGGGTGTTCCTGGGCTGGGCTGTACCTCACACCTCTGCTGGCCTTTAGATCCTGCAGCGAGTAGAGGACAACACCCTCATCTCCTACGATGTCTCTTCGGGGGCCGCGGGCGGGGTGGTCTCCCCCAGGTGAGCACCACCAAGCCCCTCCTCTCAGGCAGGCTTCCTGCCCTTGGATCTTGGGCTTGGCTCCCTGCTCCCGGTCTAACCCTCCCGCCCCCAGGGACTTCGTGAACGTGCGGCGCATTGAGCGGCGCAGAGACCGATACCTGTCCTCAGGCATCGCCACCACCCACTGCGCCAAGCCCCCTACACACAAATACGTCAGGTGAGCCTTGCTTTGCCTGGAGTCATCCCGGCTGGCCTGTCCCCTGGTGGCTGTGAGGGCAGAGTAGGGCACAGCATGGACCGCAGGGCGCTTTCTCCTGCCGAGGCTGCCTTCCTGTCCCCTGTCCTGCTGGGCTCTGCCCCTCCCAGCCCCTAGTCCTGCTAATCTGCTCTAAGTCCCGGAGCCTGGGGGGATTGAGGGCTGGAGCCCAGTGCCCAGGCGGAGGGTGGCTCCAGGGATAGCCTGAGGACAGGGACGAGGCCACGGAGGGGGGCTGGGAGCCACGAGGTGGCGCTGGTCCACGCGACCTGAGCAGAAGGCTCTGTGTCCTGGAGCTTTACCTCCCTGCCTGAGTAGAGTTGGTCCCGCTGCCTTGCCTTTTCCCAGACCGCTCAGAGGTCCCCACGAAGGAAGAGGCACCTGTCCCGGGGCATCCTGCAGTTCTCCTGCTGCCTCAGCCTAGACCCCAGTGCTGCAGGCAGCCTCCCCCCCGATTCCCCGCTCTCCCCATCCTTCCTGGGGTTCCAGAGAGCACTGGGTGTTGAGTATGAGATTTGACACACCAGACCCCTGGATGACGAGCTGGCCTCTTTCTGGGCGCCAACTTCCTTATCTGTGGAGTGGGCTGAGCGCGCTCAGTGGGGCTGTGGGGGAACCGACTGGGGGATGGGATGTGCCCTGCCCACCTCCTGGGAAGGCGCCCCCTCCTGGAGCCCCGCCAGCACCACACTGCTCCCCGAGTCGGGCCGGGGTGAGAAAAGCGTGCACAGCCCACCCCTCCCAGCCAGAGCTGACCGAGAATCCCTGAACAGAGAGGATGACGGCTGCCACCGGGGATGGGGGCGGGGTGGTGGGGGGGGCTGCTGAGAAGGCTGTAGAAGGGGGAGCTGAGCCTCACAGGGTACGTGGAGGGCTGTGTCCTGTGGCCTCTGGGACACCTGCTCTGGGCCGTGCTCAGGCTGAGGGGCAGTTGCTAGACCAGTAGCTCCCTTCCCTCTTTCACCCCAGTCCAGGATGGGCCAAGAATGGGGTGTGGGATCAGGTCGGAGGCCTTGCCTGGCTCCAAGGTGCCCCCCAATGGTGCTTTTCTCGTAGGGGAGAGAATGGTCCTGGGGGCTTCATCGTGCTCAAGTCAGCCAGTAACCCCCGAGTCTGCACCTTCATCTGGATCCTGAATACAGATCTCAAGGTGGGGGTGCGGAGCTCCAAGGCCGGCTCGGTACAGTAGAGGAGACCCTGCTGGGGTGCCTTGGGGTGGGGCCTCCTGTCATGCTCAGGACCTCACCTACTCCGCCTCCTCTCTTACGCTCAAATTGGGGGCCGGGTCAGGATGGTCTCCTGAGTTGCTGGAGGGCCTGTATGTCCCCTTACCTCTGAGTTTCGAGGCCCTGCGGAGCAGTGGCTGACTGCCAAGCCAGCCCCTCCTAGGTCTGTTTCTGTGGCTGGTGCCAAGAGCCGGCACAGCGTGTTCTTTCTGCCAGGGGTGAGGGGGAGAGGGTGGCTTAGGCTGCATTCCAGAGCTGCACCTGCACCTGCTGCTCTCACCCAGGGTACCCCCCACCCCCCACCCCCTCTGGTGCCTGTTGCGGAGGGGGGAGCCCCTGCTGAGGGCAGGCCTCCCGAAACTTCCTCCCACCTTCCCACAGGGCCGCCTGCCGCGGTACCTCATCCATCAGAGCCTCGCGGCCACCATGTTCGAATTTGCCTTTCACCTGCGGCAGCGCATCGGAGAGCTGGGGGCCCGGGCGTAACCATGCCCCCTCGCCACCCTGCAGGCCAGGGTCCTGTCACCACAGCCTTCAGAGCCAGAGAGGAGGCCAGTGGGGCTTCCCACCACCCACAGAGGACCTGGCCTCAAGCAGTGGGGAGGAAGAAGTTTCCTCCTGTGGCAGCCCCTTGGCCTCAAGCTGCCACCCTCCAGCATGCTTCGCCGTGAGCAGGTTGGGAGGTTGGGCACCTGGACTCCGGGGCTTTGCCGCCGAGGCGAGTGGGGTCTACCCTGCTGATGTTTACACAGTGACTGACCCTGCCTCCTGGAGGACGAGATGATGCATGGCGCCCTGCCTAGCGGGAGGCAGAACCTGGAATGGGAGCGGCAGCCTCTGTGCGAGAGCGCCAGGGCCCTGAGCAGGACGGAGGTCAGGGCGGCCTGGTCACCGGTCACCGGTGTTAAGGTGCAGGAGCCCCTTCGTCTGCCTGCTCTCTCATCATGGTTTTTTAGGATGATTTAAAGGGTCTGGGACCTTTTTCCACATGCACTTGTTGGGGAGTGGGTGGCAAGTGGGGGTGGTGGGTGCTGGCAGTGAACCCCTGCTGCCCCCAGTTTCTCTCCCTCCCCCAGGGTTCCTTGGGGACCTTTGTAATTTGAGCCAGTTATTAAAAACAAACTCAAAAAGAAAGAAAGAAAAAGCAGCCCCCCCTGCCTGGCCTCTGGAGGGAAGAGGAGGGCAGCACTGTGGAGGTGGGGACGGAGCCAGACACGTCCCACACCCTCGCACACCCTTCCAGAGTCAGCGGGAGGTCAGAGCAAGTGGGGACCCTGTTCCGGGAGCCCCCTACTTTCCTGCGTGGTCCAGCTGGACAGATGATTGGTCAGAGAAAAATGCCCCACCCCCCAGCCAGGCCTCCTGTGAGGGAAGGTCAGTGGAAGGTCTCCTGCCCAGGAACTGAGGGGAGGTAGGAGAGGCCCGGTAGCATCCGAGGCAGGCCTTGACTGTCCTTGGGGTCCCACAGCCGGCCTGGGAGTGGGGCCTGGGCTTCTGGGTCACTGAGGCACCTCTGGGATCTCTGTCTCTCTGGCTCCACTCAGCTGTCCCCTCTGCCCCAACACTCTCACCAGGGGCAGCACAGAGTCAGATCGTGGGCAAGGGCCGAAGCATTGCAGGGGCCACCGCCATCCCTGCCCTCCTCCCTCCCTCCCTGCCTGCAGGCTTCCGAGGGGGCAGCTTGCATCGGGCCAAGCAGGGGAGGGGGGCGGGTCCTATCTTGGTCCTGGCTTAGGTGCGTGACCCTGGGCAGATGTACCTCTCTGGGCCTCCATTTCCTACTTTGTCGAAATGAGACTCATTATGTCGTAGGGCTGTCCTAAGATTGAAACAAGGATCAGGGCTAGTGCTTCAGTAATCAAGAGGATGCAGTTCTGCCCTAGGTGGGCAGCCACGGGCCTTGCCACCCGCTGGGTGCTCTGCTGTTCCTGCAAGGTCCTCATCTTAGCTCCTGTACGGCCTCTTCCGGCACCCTTTGCTGTGTCCCCTCAGTGATGCCCCCACCCCTCCTCCCCCCCATGCCCAGCACCTTGTGTGCCAGCTTCCTACTTCATGAGTTGTTCCCCTTGGGTGCTGGGCTTTCCCAGCAGCTGTCCTGCTCCCCTGCTCCCCTTCAGTGAGAGCCAGCCCCCTCCCAGGTGGCACAGTGGAGCTGCACAGGCCGTTGTGACCAGAAAATGGGGCCCAGAGAGGGGCAGAGGTTGCCCTGTGGCTGATGTGGGGGGTAGAGCCAGATCTGACTGTGCCATTCATCAGAGCCCCTAGATTTGCATTGCACCTGCCTTGGGGTGTTGCTGGGGAGAGGGGGAGGGGAGCCACCTCCCACACCTGCTCTTTCCACCCTGACTGGCCTGATGTGGGAAACCACTTCTCTGACCACTGGCCACTGGAAAGGAGAACATCTGGCAAAGGCTTATGCCCAGGGTCCCAGGTGTGGAGCTAACCAAGTCATTTCCGGCCAGTGCGGTGGTGGCTGTCGTGGACCGGGTCTCGGTGCAGATCCCAGGGCCTCTGCCCTTGATCCTAGGCAGAGGAGAGCCGTGGGAGCAGGACCTGATGGCCTGGTACCGAGCCCTGAGTGGGCCTCGATCCCTGCCACTGCCTGTTCTGCTTACAGACAGGCCGCTGTCCTCCCTGGGCGGGAGGGGAGGGGTGGGGCAGAGAGCAAACGCCAAGGTGGCACGAGGCTGGGCATGTGCCTGGTCCCAGACAGTGTCTAAGGAGTGTCACACACCTGGAGGTGTCACTCTGACGACCTCTGCTCCCACTGGAGCATCTTAATCTCTTTAGAAGCTGACCGCTGACCCCAGGCGGCGACTGGAGTCCAGAGACCCCCCAGCCCCGCCCTGGGCCCAGAGTCCCCCATTGGTGAGCCTTGGCTCTGCTTATAGCATCTGACGCCAGAGGGGCTGAAAATAGCCCCTGGAGGAGGTGGAGGAGGGGGCTATTTAAAGGGCCTGGGAGGAGCAGAGCTGAGAGCGAGTGAGCACTGATCATGGCCACTGCAGAGCTGAGCTGCCAGGTGTCCGAGGAAGACCGAGAGCGGCGAGAAGCCTTCTGGGCCGAATGGAAGGATCTGACATTGTCCACACGGCCTGAGGAGGGGTGAGTGCCAGGCAGCTGGGAGTCCCTCTCCCCTAGAACACCTCTCCTGAGCCTCACACGAGGCCAGAGCACAAAGCCCTGCAGAAGTTTCTGGGGGTAGGGACAAGGAGAGGGCCCAGGGGGGAGAGTGGAGTCACCCCTTCTGCATCCCAGATCCTGGCAAGCCCCAGGGAGCCCCCTGCCCAGCTCATGACTGGAGGGTAGCAGATTTCAGGAGCTTAGTGTCCCCCTGCCCTCTCCTCCCCAGTTGCTCTCTGCACGAGGAGGATGCCCAGCGGCACGAGACCTACCACCAGCAGGGCCAGTGCCAGGCGCTGGTGCAGTGCTCCCCCTGGTTGGTGATGCGTATGGGCATCCTCGGCCGTGGGCTGCAGGAGTACCTGCTGCCCTACCAGCGGGTGCTGCCACTGCCCATCTTCACCCCCGCCAAGATGGGTGCCACCAAGGAGGAGCGCGAGGACACCCCCATCCAGCTGCAGGAGCTGCTGGCCCTGGAGACAGCCCTGGGTGGCCAGTGTATGGAGCGCCAAGACGTGGCCGAGATCACCAAGCAGCTGCCCCCCGTGGTGCCCGTCAGCAAGCCCGGCGCCCTGCGTCGCTCTCTGTCCCGCTCCATGTCCCAGGAAGCACAGAGAGGCTGAGAGGGGCGGTGACTCGGGCTCCACCGGGCCTGCCGTGGGCTGGGCCCTTCCTGGCTAGGACCATGGAGGGGAGCTGCTGGCCATGGATGCTTTGTAGTTTGCCCAGAGTTGGGGGCTAGGGGAGGAGGGAGCCAGAGGCCAGGATGCCTGGGTCCCCTGAGTTCCCAAAGGGAGGGGAGTGAAGACAGTGGGCACGAAGGATAGAGAGCTGGGGGCCAGCACAGCCAAGCGCCCCCAGCCCCAGGAGAAGGGACAAAAGATGCTGGTGAGGACAGAGGTCCCTAAGGGGAGTGACCCTGGTCTAGGCTCCAGTTTCAGAGAAAGATAAGGAAAAGGGGATCTGGAATGCTCTAGGAAGGAGGCTTGAAGGAGACCAGAGTGAGGGGGACGTGAAGAGGGCAGAGGCAGAGTGGAGCCCCCAGCACCCTCTGTTAGCGCTGCAATAAATGCTCAGTCGTGTTCCAGACTTCTCGTTCCAGTCTTTCTCCTTGTGGGGGCCGGCCCATTGGTGTCCGCCCCCCCCCCCCCCCCCAGCGCTCGCTTCTGGGAATAGGCCTTGCACCTGAGCTAAATATGGCAGAGCCAGTGGGTACACTCCATGCTTGGTTGTGGGGGCGGGGGAGACAGGGACAGAGCTGTAAACAGGGTATCTGTCCGCTCTGCCTTCCATGCCCTGGCTCTGCTGTGCAGTGCCTGGCCTCTGTGTCCAGTCCCCTGGCACTGGGCAGTGTCCAGCAGGCCAGCTGGCATCCAGGGTTTGTTTAAATGATCTCATGGAGTAGAGGGAGGGGCCTGGCGCCAGGACTGTCCTTGGCTGTACCTTAGGGTGTGAATGGGGTCACTGACCCCAAGGCTGACCTACCTCTCAGTCCTGAATCCAGACAGAATCAATTCTTGGCTGGGGTCAGGCACTCTGCCCTCCCTGACCAGGGAGCCCAGGCTGGGTTTTGGGGAGTGGAGGGTCAGGTTCTTCTCTGTGACCCCTGCAGCTTCGTGACTCCTGTCCCAACCTGGTTGCCTGGCCCAACAAGGAGACACGTTCCCCTTGGGACGAGGTGGGGGCACAGAGGAGGCTGGAGGCCCATCTGGACAGGGGCTGGTAGCCTACCTAGGGCAGAGGGACAATGGACTGGCCCAGAGGGGTCCAACTCCAGGAAGACCACTGGAGATGGCCGCGTGGAGTCCACTTCCCATCTGGGGCGATAGGAGGGAAGACCCTGGCATCTTGACCTGGAGTGCCAAGCAGGACCTGCAGGCCTGGCCTGGCCCGCTCCCCGAGAGAGGGGAATGTAGTGTGGACTGGGGGAGGAGAGGGGTCAGAGAGCCCAGACTGGCGCAACCCCAAAACCCTTGGCGGGGAAGGCCCAGCCTGCGCCCTCTGGGCCCCGGGGCCGCCTGGAGAACGCCTGCGCACTCCCGCCCTCCCCACGGTCCCGCGCCCCCGACATGGCCATGGCCAGAACGTCCCGAGCCTTCTGCTCTCGGAAGCCCCCAGATAAGCGGATCGGAGCCCGCAGGGCCCGCGGGGAGGCCCGGCTGTTCGGCTGGCAAAGTGCATTAGCCCCGATCGCATCCCCTATCGCGGCGGCCATCGGACGGGCGGGGCCGGAGCAGCGCTCTGGGGCCCCCGGGCGACCGTGGCGGAGGCCAGAACGTACTGTCCTTTCCGGGGTGGGGGTGGAGGGCGCTGGGGGACGGGGGTTGGTAGGAAAGGACGGAAGAGGGCTGGAGGAGGGGCGGGAGGGGCACCTGGGGTGACCTGGGTGTGACCCCGGGACGGGATGTCTCAGGAAGGCGAAGTCGGCGGGGGCTGGGCCCGGGGTCGGGGACGAGGGCGCTGGGAGGTGGGCACTGGGAGAGGGCTGATTCGAACCCTGGCCAGAGAGAAGGGATGGGGTGCCGGGCGAAGCGGGTGAATGGCTGGGGAGCCGGAGGAGAGCGGCGGGAGGAGCTGGGGACCGGCGGGGCAGGGATCTAAGGGTCCTGGGGGCACGAAGCTGGCTCGGACCAGGCCCGGTGAGGCAAAGGCTGGACGGCTGCGGGAGCAGCTGCGGAGCGGAGGGGGGGGCGCCCCCACGCGCCTCGAGTGTCTGCTGCTCCGACACTAAGGGAGATGGATGGGCTGGGGGAGATGCAGCGCGGAGCCCCGGGCGGCTCCAGGCGCAGCCGCCGCCCCCGCAGCGGAGAGTCGGGCGGGGAGTCGGGCGGCAGATAAAGGGGCCGCGAGGCGAGAGGACAGCGCGGGCGACGGCGGCGGCATGAGCGCGGCAGACCCGAGTCCCGCTGCGGGCGCGGCCCCCGACTCGGACCCGGGCCGGGCGGCCGTGGCCTCCGCCTACCAGCGCTTCGAGCCCCGCGCCTACCTCCGCAACAACTACGCGCCCCCTCGGGGGGACCTGAGCAGCCCGGACGGCGTGGGGCCTTGGAAGCTGCGCTGCTTGGCGCAGACCTTCGCCACCGGTGAGCGCGGGGAAACTGAGGCCCGGAGGACAAGAAGTCATCAGAGAGCTAAATGGGCATGCGTGAGCGAGCCCGATGGGGACCAAGAAGCAGAGATAGGTAGTTAAGAGATGAAAACAGAAGAGGAAGAGAAGCAATATCCCTTAGGTAGGGGGCAGAGGAGAGAGACCTGTGGAGAGGGCACTGGGAGATGAAGTGGGGGATGCAGGAAAGAGACCCCAAAGACCCCCGAGACAGAGAGGGAGGCCGAGATCGAGATCGGGGAGGGAAGAGAGGCACGTGCAGGAACTGCCAGGCACCTCCGGATTTCCCCACCTAAGCCTCACGGAAGGGAGGGACGGTCCTACAGATGTGGAAGCTGAATCTCAGAGGGGTTAAGTCCCTTTCCCAAGGTTGGTCAGTCCACGTTGGGGCCAGGACTCAGACCCAGGTTAGCTGATGCTTTTTCCAGAGAGAGGCACACTTACAGAGGGAGAATCAAGAGAGGCTGGGAGAAGCAGGTGAGGGAGGGAGGGACTGAGGCGGGGTTGCCTGGACAGGGCTGGCACAGGACCCTCCTGCTCTGCTCCCCCACCCCGCCAGGTGAGGTGTCGGGACACAGCCTCATTGACATTGGTTCGGGCCCCACCATATACCAGCTGCTCAGCGCCTGCACCCACTTTGAGGACATCACCCTGACAGATTTTCTGGAGGTGAACCGCCAGGAGCTAGGGCTCTGGCTGCGGGAGGAGCCCGGGGCCTTCGACTGGAGCACGTACAGCCAGCACGTCTGCCTCATTGAGGGCAAGGGGTAAGGGGGCTGCCCAGGGAGTGGCGGGTGGGGGGGCAACAGAGGACTGAGCGTGGGGTGGCCCTGAGCCCTGGTCCTGCCCCTGCACAGTGAGTCCTGGCAGGAGAAGGAGCGCCAGCTGCGAGCCAAGGTGAAGCGGGTCTTGCCCATCGATGTGCACCAGCCCCAGCCCCTGGGCGCTGGGAGCCTGGCGCCCCTGCCTGCCGATGCCCTGGTCTCTACCTTCTGCCTGGAGGCCGTAAGCCCGGACCTTCCCAGCTTCCAGAGGGCCCTGGACCACATCACCACCCTGCTGAGGCCTGGGGGGCACCTTGTCCTCATCGGGGCCCTAGAGGAGTCATGGTACCTGGCTGGGGAGGCCAGGCTGGTGGTGGTGCCCGTGTGTAAGGAGGAGGTGATGGCGGCCTTGGTTCGCAGCGGCTATGAGGTGCGGGACCTGCGCACCTACGTCATGCCTGCCTGCCTTCAGACAGGTGTAGACGATGTCAAGGGCATCTTCTTCGCCTGGGCCCAGAAGAAGGCGGGGGTGTGATGGCCCAGTGCACCCAGTGCTGGTGGCTCACATACACCCAGATTCCCTGTTATGTGAGGTGGCACCTAATAAAGAAATAAGTTCCTCCTGCTGAGCGTCAGCTTTGTCTGTGGCTCTCCTGGGAAACAAGGAGCTCTCTCTGAGGTTGTGGGGGTGTGGAAGCCACCAACCCTAGCCTTTTTTTCCAGAAGCTTCCGTGACGGTAGGTTTCTTTACCACTCATTCTTCCCAAACTAAGTCAAGGCCAGAGGGAGCTCGTTCAGCATTTGCTGTGTGCCAAGCACCTATTAGGCCCACTCGGTCCTCACACGCAGCAGGTCCTGTTGTCCTGTTTGCAGGTGAAGCTAGGAGAGGTTAAGTAACAAACAGGAGTAGAGGGGCGCCTGGGTGGCTCAGTCGTTAAGCGTCTGCCTTCGGCTCGGGTCATGATCCCGGGGTCCTGGGATCGAGCCCCGCGTCGGGCTCCCTGCTCGGTGGGAGGCCTGCTTCTCCCTCTCCCACTCCCCCTGCTTGTGTTCCCTCTCTCGCTGTGTCTCTCTCTGTCAAATAAATAAATAAAATCTTAAAAACAAAACAAAACAGGACTAGAGCCTAGTTTAGACCAGAAGGGGAGGAGAGGGGTATAATCAGAAGACTGAAGTGGAGCGTGCACAGGGAAGGAGTTACAATCCAGGCACCAGTTCCCTACCCCCCCCAGCACCCCCCCCGCCCCCCGCCCCGCAGCTGGACTGGAGCTCCCCGCTGCTCTGCATCTGCTCCCTGCCCAGGCACAGACCCCAGCTGCCCACTGCCTCCAGCCAGCCGTCTTCTCCTTCCCTCCGGCCCCCTCTACTCACACAGATGAGCTGAACAAGGGTAGGCGAAGCTGAGAATTGGTTTATTAAGAATGTCCCTTGTTATCCTTCTACCTTAAAAGAGTTCTCAATATCAAAGGAAACATGGGCCACCCAAGTCTGAGGTTGGAGTCCTAGCATAGCACCTCTACACCACAGGGAGGGACAAGGGGGCAGGGAAAGAATAAGAATCCAGGCTCCCTGCTCCAATCGCAGAGACTGCCTTTGGATGGAAAGTTTCTGGAGCCCCACATTCTATCCTTGTGGAGCAGGAATGTGTTCGGGCTGCTGGCTACTAGCAGGGGTCACCTTTACCAGGGTGCAGATACAGGGTGGCCCCTGCCTGCCTCTGGGAAGGCCAGAAACCAGACCCAGCCACAGGCCTTCTCCCCCTACTCCCTCAGATTGCCCCCCCTTCCCAAGGTCCAGGCTGTGACAAAGGGGCTTAGCAGGTAGGGCACGGGGGGGGGGGCAACAAAGCCTAGGTGACAGGAAGGCTGGAGAGGCCCCCACGATCCCTTCCTCCCTCTGCCTCCCGAGAGGCTGGTTCTGGAGGGTGATCTGAGTTGTGCGAGGGTCCTCTGAGATTTGGAGGTGGACTGTAAAGTGGGGGCCACGGACAGCGACACCCACATGCAGCCTGGACACCCGTACCCCGCCGAGCCAGACCTTGAGGATATCCTGGCTCCCTGCCTGGCCTGGGGCCCTGGAGCTGGTGCTCAACAGATAGATGGTGGTGGTAACTTGATCCCCCATTTTTCTCCAGCCTCCCCCCACTGCGTGGTACACTCACCACACTCACACTCACCTCACACCCAGTCTGTGCATACTGCCCTGACCCACACTCCCCCACTTGTCCTGCAACACACACTTTCAAACCACTCCCGTCCCACCCCACTCTCCACACAGGCTCATACACTGCCCCACCCAGCATCCCACACGCTCACTCCAATGCCCGATGCTCTCTGTCTAGTTCTCGCTCCCTTACACACTCACGTGCAGGCTCCTGGGGATCTGGCTGAGACAACAGTCCTGGTGAGACCACTGCCCAATCCCAGCAGCTTGGTTCGTCAAGATCCCAAGGGGAGGAGACCTGCCTTGGAACTTGGGCAGCCAAAGAGCAAGAGTCTAGTGCCACCTAGTGGTGCCCTGAAGGAGGGCAGGGGGTAATGGAAGGGGCCCCACTGTGTCCCCAAAGGCCTGTGGAACCTGGTCTCCCAGCTGGACAGACAGCTGTGGGAACCACCCAGGCGGTGAGGGGCTGTGGGGAAGAGGCTGATGGAGAGGCAGAGGCAGCTCTCCTCTCAGTGGAGCTAAGAACGCAGTTCCACGTCAGTTCTCCAGGAACCTTTCTCCGACCCGAGATGCTGACAGGCCAAGCCTGAACAGACTCCGAGACCTGTGAGGGCCATGTGGGGGCGAGCAAGGGGATGGGCAGTTACATGATTCTGGGCCCATACCCTTCATGTCCAAGTTCAAGATGTTAAAAGGAAAAAATCATCTCAAGGATTATGGGGAGAAGGGGAGCCAGCAGGGAGAGGGCAGGCTCCCCAGTGGGGCAGACTGCTCCCAGGGCCTTCAGTCCAGCTTGAACTTGGCCTCCGATTCCTTCAGCAGATACAGGCTGTCATCTTCCAGAAAGCTGTGGGCAGAGGGAGGAGCCCACTGAGGTCTGGCTTTGAAAGCACCCCGTGGGGGTGAGCATAGGCAAGCCAGCAGGGGGCGAGGCCTCGGTCTCCTCCAAGAAGCAGGTGAGGATGGGCACAAAGAAGGTGCCCAGTGGGCGGGGAGAAGCACCCACCTGAAGAAGAGGACGTGGACGGGGATGGTGCTGATGTGCCAGATGGCATGGGCATCCAGGACCCAGAAGAAAGGCGGGAAGTCGAGCAGTTCAAGCAGGGACAGGCCCTGTAGCAGCAGGACCACTACCATGCACTTGCGCACGTGCGGCAGCCTCCGCCGGTTCCGCAGGCACCAGGCCAGCCACCACACCACGTTCACCAGGCCTGGGGGGGGCGGCGGGGGAGGCTCACTCCCTGGACCTCCCTCTGTCTCCCCCCGCCCCCAGGCAAAGCCTCTCCTATCCTCCTGCTCTTTGACCCCAGGGCCATCTTTAGACTCTCCTCTCCCACCCCAAATTCTTTCCCCTTCCCCCACCCTAAAGGCCTCTCTAGAACCTTCTCCAGGAACACCATCAAATCCCTACCTCCACCCCAGGCCAGCAGTTTCTACACATGGTCCAGGTGCCCCCCTTCCCCGCAACCCCCTGGGGCCTCAGTCCCCTCTCACGCCTCACCAATAGCCACATTGGCCGCCAGGTTGTAGCCATAGTCGAAACGGACGAGGCTCAGGTAGGAGACGTGCGCGGTCAGCATCAGCAGCAAGAGGGCCCGGAAGGCGCTGGCCACGGCCGGGTGCTGCAGCCCCACAGTCCTGCCGCGCCACCCAGAGCCGCTCAGCTGGAGGGCGGCCCGTGCCCAGAGCAGCATTCCCTAAGCGTCCCTTCACCCTGACGTCACTGTGTGGCAGCCGTGGCCCTCCTCCCCCACCCAAACAGGCCAGCTCGGCAGGCCTCCAATCCCCCCCGGGGGGGCGTGGGCCCAAGCACTACTGCTTCTCGGAAAGAGCCAGGGCCCCTCGCTCTACCCCGCAGTCCCCAACCAGAACAGCCCGGAGGGGGTGCGTGTGTGCGCGTGCGCGCTGGGGTGCAAGGCCCCAGGGGCAACACCCCTAGGGGTGGGCGAGGCGACCCGCTTCTGCCCCCAGCGCCTGATTTTGCCCCTGTGGGGGCCAAGATGGGCTCACCTGACACAGCACAGATAGATGGAGTGCAGGATGACGGTGGAGGCACAGAAGTAATCCATTTTCTGAAGACAGGGAGAGCTGGATGAGGGGCCAGCATGAAGGGAGGGGGAGATGGGCAGGGCCCCGAGAGAACCCACCCGGGACGGGGCAGGGCAGGGCACGGCGGCCTGGGAGTCCAAGGCCTCTGGGGGGGTGGGGGGGGGTGCCTGTCTTGTGCTCCCTTCTGCCTATTGCTGTTTCACTCCTGAATGGAACGGTCTGACCCTTGTATTCACATTATACAACTGTTTAAAATGTCTTCAGCCGCAAGGCTTTGGGGGCACGGGCGGGGATGCCTGCCAGGACTCCAGAACACCGCAGAATGAGGAGTGCAGTCTCGAGTCCCACGGCTGTGGGCCCAAGTCCAGGTGGCGCTCTTACTGGCTGGGTGACCCTGGGCAAGCGATTCAGCCTTTCCGAGGTTCAGGGGCATTGTCAGTTAAGGGCCAATCATCACACCTACCTCACAAGGGCCAAGTAGGCTCAGGTGCACGAACAGGTTAAAAATGCCAAGCACAGAGCAAGGGAGTCCCTCCGAAACCTAAGAGCCAGCCCCCACCCCTTCTGGGCTCCTCTGGGACGCTCCCACACAGGAGGGTGAGCCGGAGGGGCGCTCACCTCTGTGAGGTCGGTGTCCTTGGTGTGGAAGACTGTGGACCAGAACCAAGCATTGAGGGAGACCTGCAGGGAGGCGCTAGTCAGCGTGGTGTCCTGAGGTGGGGAGGAGCACTCACAGGGGTGGCACTTTGGGGAAGGGGCTCTGTGGAGCAGAGAAACATGCTCCCCCTTGCCCCCGGAACCAACCCGTGTCCTCAGCCGGCTGCAAGCCTGAGCCCCCTAGGCCACGGGGACTGCGGCCTCCACAGGTTCCGGCCTGGCCTGGGAACCAGTTCCGGCAGAGCCAAGTTCCCTGCTTACTCAATCGCTAAGACAACAGCCCCCAGGGGGCCTCGCCTCCTCCCCCAACCGGCAGGTGATGACAGCCCCACCCGGGGCCAGGGGAGCCAGTGACCTCAGCCTCTGGGGGCGGGACTGAAGTGGGTGGGGTGGAGGGGCTCCTGCCAGCTTGGGGTGTGTCCGGAGCAAAGCAAGCAAGGGAGGGAGATCAAGCTGATCCCACTGGGGCCAAGTCTCTAAGGAGGAGGCTGGCCCACGGAGCCCCCCCCCCCGGGTGGGCCGGCCCAACCTGCCAGACCGGCATCTGCTGCTTCCCAAGCTCTGGGAGGAGCGGAAGGCTGAAGGGGCTGTGGTGGGCAAGGGCCCAGGAGCACATTTGGGGCCTTTTCCCTGGAAATGAACTGCAAGGAGACAGTACAAAACATCTTGCAAATGAGTCCTAGATCTTGTGGGAGTTGGTGCTGTATCCATGGCCGAGGCCCAGATCACTGGAAGAAGGGTGGGCTGTGGGGGGAGGTTCCTACACTGGGCTGGGAAACCAGAGGCAATGAGTCAAAGGGGAAAACAGGCAGCCAGAGGTCTGGCCTGGGATGCACTGGAGATGGGGGGGGGTGCCTGGGGAGGGGGCGGGGGGACAAGCCTGCCTGAGACGGCTGCCTATCGAGGTACCCGAGACGGGTAAAGGCCAGGAGCTGCTCATTTGCGTCCAGGACAGCAGGAAAACTGGCCAGGAGCCTGACAGAGGAAGCAGAGAAGAAGCCTCTCTGTCCAGTCCTGTGGCAGGAAGGTCAGACGACAGGATGGGTCCCCTACTGCAGGCCCAAAAGGGCTTATGAGAGCATGGGAAAGCAAAGGGGTAGAGGCAGGACAGGCTTGGTGCAAAGGCAGTCAGCACTAGAAGTCTCTGGAGGCTCAGGTACCCCCTGCGAGCCTGTCTGGCCTGGGTCCTAGGCTGAGTCTCTCGGCTTATGCTCCTCACGATCTGGACAAAGGCCCTGCCCTCTGGGCCTGAGCTTCCCCCTGTGACTAATCGGGGCCTAGCCTAAGTGATCCTTCCTCCCTCTCCAGCCCTGACATCAGGTGATTATTCTAGGTCAGGTTGCTTCTCTTTTGAAGACGGCCATCCAGTCCCATCCCTGGTGCTGCCCCTTCCCCTGAGATGGTATATGAGGCATGGTCCGGGGGCTGGGGGATGGGAAAGAATGGGGCGGCTTCTCAGACACTGCTCCCACAAAGTCTGGGACGCTCAGGGTCAGCGTGGGGGAGAGGAGCAGACTTGGGGCTGGAGGCAGGGCCCCCGAGATCACATGGGCCAGGTCTCCGGGGCAGGCCAGGAATAGGGATACCCTCGGGGAGGAGAATGGTCCTGGAGCCAGTAGGAGAGGGAGGTGGAGGGGAAGGCAGCAGGGACTGGCAGCCAACCAGGCCTCCTTGTCACCCACAGCAGGAAGGGAGAGGTGACAAGAGGACTGAGCTAAGTGGTGGCTCCAGGGGTGGGGGGCAGCATGGGACCGGGGCTTAGCTCCTCGGGACAGAGTGGGAGCTGCCTGGGTCCCCTATTCAACTGCCTCCCTGGAGGGTCTTCCACTTAGAGACACACCTGAAGCCTGGATTCTGCACCCCCGAAAAGTCCCCTCTCCCCTGGGCAGTGTCCCATCATGAGGGACTCTTCTTCTGACCCTCTCCTCTCCCACAGACTTGGGAGATAAGTGTCATTAAGAATGAGGCCCCCAGGTCAGACTGCCAGGATTCAAATCCTGGCCCTACACTTCCTGTGTGTCCTTGGGCAAGTTATTTAGCCTTGCTGTGCCTCTGTTTTCTCATCTGTAAAATGGGAATAATCATAGCATGCACAAGAATTTAATGAGCCTCCATAATAAGATGGACCCTGGGTTCAAGTTCTGCCTCAGTCCCTACATAGCTGTGTGATCTTGAACCAATAAAATATCTGAGTCTCAGCTGTCTCATCTACCAAAGGGGGTTAATAATGATACCCACTGCATTAGAGGGTCCTGAAGATGATGTCTGCAGAATGCCTGGCAAAAAGAAGCCATTCGGGCATCTGGGTGGCTCAGCTGGGAGGGCCAATGGTAACTAGCCAAACGGACAGGCCAGGAGGGGCTGAGCAAAGGGGGAGGCCAGGGGCAGGGTGCCAGTGAGGGTGGAAATGGAGGGGGACAGGGAAAGCTGGGTGAGGGAGAGCAGGAGGCTGTTTCAGTCTGTTGGAAAATAAGAAAATTGAGACAAAAATATCACAGCCGTGAAACTGGTTGGGTGCCAAATGAGCCAGATCTGTCAGGAATTCGACCCCAGTGCTAAGCCCCAGTGCTCGGGGCTGTCATTGACACCGTGGCGGTGGGGACATGTGGGTCTTTAAATAGCTCGGTGTCTCAGAAGTGGGGGAGGCAGAATGTTAAATATGACGCCGGCTGCCATCCTGCCCCCCCCCCCCCCCCAGAGGCCACAATGTCTCACCCCTGCCTTGGGCAGGGCAATCCTGCCCCACTTCACTCCTGAGAGAGAATAGGGGAAGAGGCGGATGGAGATGGGAGGAAGGTGGTTTTTCCACCATCAAAAAGGATTCCTTGATTTCCTGCCATTGCCTGTTCCACTGGCTCTTGTCTGACCAGTGGGAAGTCCCTCCTGAAGTCTAACCATCATTGTGCTGCAGGCCCAACCTGTCTCTTCTCGTGGTTTCCGCAGCAGAGGCAGAGCACAGTCAGTCCCCACCTCCATCAATCATCCTGCAGAGACAGTCTGGGCTCTCCGGGCACCCTCACTCTCTCACCTCTACTTCTGAGGACTTTTCCTTACTGGACAAAGGGGCGGGGAACTGGTTTGGCTTCCTGGCTTTGCAGAGAGCAGGGGCCCCCAGTTTCCAGAAGTCAAAGGTCTGTGGTATGCAGAGCTTTGGCAGGCTCCCCTAAAGCCTGGCTGATGCCCAGCCCAAGCCAGGTCCAAACATCAAGGCAGAGATTACTCTCTTGTGCCAAAGCTTCATCAGCCCTGCTGGGGCAGGGTCTCCTCATTCCCCAGGGGAAAAGACTGACAAAGACAACTCTCCCAAAACTTAACCTGCAAAAAGCCGTCCTATCCTATCCCAACAGAAATCAGGAGCCCCACTCGCTCCAGAAGACCCAGCCCAAGACAAAGTCCACTGCCACACCCTCCATTCAGCTCAGGATCCCCTCCCCGCAAACACAGGCCCACAGGACTAAAAGATCAAGTGTAAAATCCAAACTGGGTCATCAAGGGAGTGTGGGCACAGAGACTCGGTCCCTCGAGGACCTAGTGCCGGCATGTGGGGGTTCCATGTTCCAGAACCCCGTATCCCGTAGGATGTGCTCAGGCACAGGTCCCAGGTATCTGCCCTCTCTCAACCTCACATCTCCTGCTCTGTCCTGAAGGGTCCTCAGTAGACTGGACTGCGGAGTATCAGGAGGCCTGACCCTCACCAAGAAGGAAGAGAAAAGACCCAGGAATCAGGTAGATGAAGACGAGAGTTGTGACCCCTGGCAAAGGCTGGGACCCTCTGAGGTCCCCCCAGACCCACCGGTCTATCCAAGGAGGTGCTAAGCTTTGTTCAGAGAGTTCAGGCAGGGACTGTCCAGTGCTCTCTAGCAGGGGTGGGGGCAGGAGTGCAGCCGTGGGCCCAGACAGCAGTGACCCTGGAAGAACCCCAAGGGAAAGGGGACAGGTGTGCCCTCCTCAATTCTCTGCCCTTCCTGCTTTCTTGGCCAGGACCAAACTCCCTCCTCTGAGAGAGGCCTAAACAGGAAGTGGTGGTTCTATGCCACCCATGCCCAGGACAGGGTATGTGGGTGCCAGGCCCCTGCCTACACAAGCGTCCCTGCCTCTCAGCACTCGGGGCCTCTCTGTGCCACCTTACCTCCCTCCACTCCCCTTCACCCAGCCACACTGTGGCCAGGCTGACCTTTCCAAGGCTACCTATCAAGGTCCCACCCCCTCCACCTTCTGCCCCTCGGCTCTGGCTGTGCCTCCAGCCTGAGATACAGAAATCCAACCTCTTCTCCCTGCATCTGTATGTGTCTAAGCCTGATCAGGCCTAGGAGTCCCCAGTGGAGTCCCTCCCCCTCTCTGGGCTTCCCCAGTAGACTTTTCCACTTAGGGGACGCCATTTCCCTCCCCACCTTACTGCTCCCAGGGCTGTGCCTGCATTCTGTCTCCCGGGCCAGCTGGACCTGCGCCTCCCCAAGGCTCAGCTTCTTGGGGCAAGGGCCTCAGTTCCCACCAGTGTTAAGCCCTGTCTCTACCCACAGCAAATGCTCAGCAGACACTGCTCAGTATATGGAGACAGCCCACAAGAGGAGCTAAGTGCTCTTAGAGCCCTGGAGCCAGTCCTGGAGGCTAACCTGCCTCCACCAGTCACTAACTTGTGAGCTGCTGGCTTTGGACAAGGTTTTCCCCCTCTGAGCCCTGCTCAGAGCTCACAGTGGTATTATGAGGATTGAATGAGAAAATATATGTAAAGTACTTAGGACAATGCCTATTATGTAATTCATAACACTTATTATTCATATTTGTTAAATAGAAAAGATGAGGGAGTGGGCGCCTGGGTGGCTCAGTTGGTTAAGCGACTGCCTTCAGCTCAGGTCATGATCCTGGAGTCCCGGGATCGAGTCCCACATCGGGCTCCCTGCTCAGCAGGGAGTCTGCTTCTCCCTCTGACCCTCTTCCCTCTCATGCTCTCTCTCATTCTCTCTCTCTCAAATAAATAAATAAAATCTTTAAAAAAAAAATAGAAAAGATGAGGGAGGATTGACTTTTCCCAGAGGTTTAACAGCCTCCTTCCAATCCCTGTCTCCTAAGTCTGAGGCTTGGTGTGGACTTCTCAGCACCCCCGTGCTACCAGTTCTCCTAAGGTCCTCAGAGACCTTGGGGTGGCCAGATCCAGGGGTGTCCTTCAGTTCTCTTGACTGTCCAGCAGAATTCCAGAGAACGGCCTACCTGCTCCCCCTTGTTCCTGTCCGGGGGCTTCTCAACCACACCTACCCCTCCAGCCACTCCTGTCTCTTGCTGGCTCATTGTCCTCTGTCTGACCTCTATGTTTTGGGGCCCCTTGGGGCTCCATCCTAGACTCCCTCTCCTCCCTACTGCTGAGGCTCGTCAGCACAGTCAAGATGGCAGGAGTGCAGACTCAGGAGCCAGACGGCAGGGCTTAAACCCTGGCTCCTTGGGCACGTTACTTTACCTTTTCAGTCCTTGGTTTCCATCTGTAAACTCGGGATAATAGTACCACTTATCTCATAAGCTTGTCAAGGGATTAACGAGGTTAATATTTATAAAATGCTTAGGATCGTACCTGATATACAGTAAGAGCTATGTACGTGTTAAAGAAATAAATTTAAAAAAATGTTGGGGCACCTGGGTGGTTTAGTCAGTTAAGTGTCTGCCTTCAGCTTGGGTCATGATCCTGGGGTCCTGGGATTGAGTCCTGCATCGGGAGAGCACAAGCAGGGGGAGAGGCAGAGGGAGAGGAAGAAGCAGGCTTCCCGCTGAGCCAGGAGCCCGACGCGGGGCTCGATCCCAGGACCCTGGGATCATGACCTGAGCCGAAGGCAGACGCTTAACCAACTGAGCCACCCAGGTGTCCCCTAAAATCTTAAAAAAAATGTTAATCACCTCAAAACATAGCTCAAACATAGTTCTCTTTAAAACCCCCCTTCCCAAGACCCATGCCCCCTCCCCGTCTAGCTACTGTGCCCTATGCTAAAACTCACTAGCCCCCTGTATCCACTTCCACCCCTTCAATCTGTTCGCTACACAGTAGCCAGAATGAGCTTTCCAAGCAAATCTATTCCTGAAACCTCTCCTCTCCAACCCTGGTGGCTTCCTGATGCTTCGAGAGTCCAGATCTGAAGTGTTAATGTGCCCCCAGGCTCTCCACAGGCTGGCCCCATTCACTGCCCACCTGCCCACCTGTTTTGTACCCACTCCCTGGCTTCCTGTACGGCAGGCCTCCCGGCCTTTCAGGTTCTCACTCTCTTCTGCCTGTGCACATTCTACATCTTCTGTGTAGATGACTCCTCCTACTCTCCCTGAATTCACCTAGCTAACATTCATTCATCATTCCAATCTTACTTCAAAGGCCCCTTCCTCAGGAAAGCCTTCCCTGACTGCCCGGTACAGGTCTGGTCTAGTGCCCCCTCACGCACCGCTACAGCACATCTCCTCCACTGCACTTTTCCAGACTTGTACTTTTACATTCGATGTGTGCTTGTGTGGTTACCACTGGAGGGCAGGAACCTGTTTTTTTTTTTGTCGTTTTTTTAAAGATTTTATTTATTTATTTGAGAGAGACAGAATGAGAGAGAGAGAGCACATGAGAGGGGGAAGGGTCAGAGGGAGAAGCAGACTCCCCGCTGAACAGGGAGCCCGATGCAGGACTCGATCCTGGGACTCCAGGATCATGACCTGAGCCAAAGGCAGACTCTTAACCGACTGAGCCACCCAGGCACCCTGTTTAGTTTTTTTTTCTAAGTAAGCTCTACACGCAATGTGGGGCTTGAATTCATGACCCTGAGATCAAGAGTTGCATGCTCTCTGACTGAGCCAGCCAGATACCCCCTGTTTTTATATACTTTTGGATCTCCAGCACTCAGCCAGGTGCCTGGCACATAGGAGGTGCTCAATACATGAACAAATGGCTGCCTTGGTGGCAGGCAGGCGAGTGAACACAGAAGGCTTACACTGGGGGCCCTGATGGCAGCCTCTTACTCTCATGCCCTCCCCACGGTTGTCACAGTTCAGAGCTGTACCCTAGTCCGTGCTTCTCACACAACTTCGGGCCCTCGACGCCGCCTCCTCTGACCAGTCGCACTGTGAAGCTCAGAGCTCTCTGGATACTCACAAGGAACATAGTTCAGTTTCCCAGGGATGGTCTAAGAGTCCTGTGGCAGCCACACCTCCAGGCCTGGGCTGGGACTGAGGGTGCTTTGAGTTGTGCAGAGGTATCTCTACCACCCACCTCCCTTCTGTGCTTGTAAATTGCCCTACTGGGTCTCTTAGTGGCTTCCTCCCTCAGGACCAAATGTTTCTCTCCTCCCTCCCTCCTTCCCTTCCTCCCAAACAGCCTGGCCTAGGATTCTGCTAGGAAGGTAAGGTCTGATTCAGCACCTTCCCTGTTTTCTCCCTAGGCCTGACCACCCACAGCTGCAGTTTTAGACCTGGAAAACACAGGGGAGGGGAGCCTGGGTGGCTCAGTCATTAAGCGTCTGCCTTCAGCTCAGGTCATGATCCCAGGGTCCTGGGATGGAGCCCCGCATCGGGCTCCCTGCTCAGCAGGAAGCCTGCTTCTCCCTCTCCCACTCCCCCTGCTTGTGTTCCTTCTCTCGCTGTGTCTCTCTCTGTCAAATAAATAAATAAAATCTTGAAAGAAAGAAAGAAAGAAAGAAAGAAAGAAAGAAAGAAAGAAAGAAAGAAAGAAAGGAAGGAAGGAAAGAAAGAAAGAAAACAGGGGAAGGCAGGTAAAGGGAAGCCCTGTTGGGCAAGACTGGGGATCGAAGAGTTCCTCCTTCCTAGAGGAGGGTGTAGAGCAGGAGTCCTGCCAAGTCACCTACCCAGGCGAAGGCCACGCAGGTGGGGTACATGGGGGAGGAGGCTGGCACGGACGTGTGGTAGCGGCAGAGCATCACCAGGCTGGCCAAACCGTTGAGGAAAGAGGCCATGGCAGAAGCTGGCTCTTGGAAGAACAGGAACCGGGAGAAGGGCCACTGAAAAGGGAGCACGTGGAGGGGGCTTGAGGGGCGAGCAAGCCCAAGTAGCCCGACCTGCTTTTCCTTGACGTGCCACATCAACAGATCTTTGGCTGGTTCCTTAGCTCTGGACCTCAGCCGAAGCCTCAGGTACAGTCCCTCTTTGGGTCCAGTCCCTAACTGAAGGTCCTCCCTCTGTCCTGGCCAGCATTCATAGCACTGTAAGCCTGGTCTCTGGAAGACTAGGTGGGCCAGTATAGATGGCTCAGGATGGCCTGGTGGAAAGGGCATACATAGACTTCCCATCCAGAAAACAGAGGTCCTAATATTTTCCTCCTCTACCACTGACCACAGGCCTCTGAGCCTCAGCTTACTCTGACAAACTGGGGAGAATAATTCTTGCCAACCTCAATAGTCTAGAACAAGGTCATATTGGATGAAAAAAGCACCAGCAGGGGAGGTGGGTGGGGGGATGGGGTAACAGGGTGACAGACATTAAGGAGGGCACATGATGTGATGAGCACTGGGTGGTATATGCAACTGATGAATCACTGAACTCTACATCTGAAACTAATGATGTACTCTATGTTGGCTAATTGAATTTAAAGTAAAAAAAAAAACAAAACACTAGCCTGACTTGCTGGGCAATCTGAGGGGGTATTACTATTTTAATCCAGACTACTACTGAAGAAGCAAAAGAAAGGATGCTGTGGTGGCGGCGGGGGGGGTCGGTCAGGAAATTCATCCTTGTAGCAAGGTGAACATTCAGCCACCCTAAGAAGTCCAGCATTACTCTCTGAGATCACATAGCTTCCCAAATGTTGTTACTCCAAATCCAGAGCCAAGACACACTGGTTCCATCTGATTATATGAAAACCAGCAGATTTTGGAGAATAGGCACCTGCCCCAAACACACACCCATCACCCCACAGCTCAGACTGCTTGACTCAGGGGTATCTTTCTCCTACAACACTATCACCATATACCTACCCTGATCCTCCAACTCACCTTGCCATGGAACTGAGGCACTTTGTGACCTTCCTTGAGGTAGAGGCCAACAGTGACCCACATACACTCATACTTACAGTCGTCCTGACAGGTCCAGCCTGAAACAGAGAAACGGGACCTGGTGAACTCCCCATCACGGGAGGCACAGAGAGAGCTCAAATGGAACCCAAACTCAAATGCAGGCTAAGAGGGCCTGCAGGATGGAGAGAACCAGATGAAATCTCAAAATTCTAACTTCCCACTTCGATCTATGAGAGATGGTAGGCCACACACACATAAAGGAAAGGTTTGTGTGTGTGTGTGTGTGTGTGTGTATGTATTTTAGGGGATGGGGGTGTGCAGTGAGCAAACACAGACGTTTCTTCTCTTCTCCTTCCACCAAGATGGGAACTTTGGCATCTGACAGACTCATCAATGGATACGTAGGTTTATGTTTGCTCTTGCTGAACTTAAGCTTTGCTCTCACTCACCAGGGAGGAACTCTTGCCATCGTACCCCCCTCCTATGAAAATGAAACCCAAATTCTTCACTCTGACTTGTGAGTCCCCAAATTGCTTTTCCAACTTTATTTCCCATACTCCCACCCACACCCTGCTCCCTGAGTTAAACCAAGCTACTGGAGACGCTCACATCTGCCCAGGGCCTCCATTCTCTCTGTTCCCTCTGGAATGCAAAGGGATAGTAAAGAGCACAAACTTGTAGTCAGACGGGCCAGAACTGGAAACTCCACTTTACCACTTTCTGACTATGTGACTTAGGGCAGGGCACTTAACCTCTCCAAGTTTCCCCATTGTAAAATTGGGTGAAAGGAAACTTAAAGGGTTGTGAAAATTACCCAGCCTACTGTGACACCTGTCACACACCAGGGGACCACTATGGCCACAGGTCCAAATTTAATGTATCCATCCTGAAGCCCTTCTTTCACAGAATATTCCAAGATGATCCCTGCTCCTGCCCTCTCAAAGCCAGAAACGATTCCTTCCTCCCCCATATGCTGCGATTGCTTGACCTAAGGGTCCTTTAGGACTCAGATCATCCTCTACCTTGGGCTAGAGAAGGCTAATGTCCCCGTGAAGACTGTGGACCCTAATGGCAGGACACTGGGTTCGATTTCAGTGTCATTCTACAGCCAGTACCCAGGAATATTAAATAAATACTAACTGAATAAATAAAAAGACTGGCTGATGCTGCTCTAATCACCCTGGGGCTCCATTCACACTCATAAAGGACACCGGGGGAAACGAAGGTTCAGAGGTGGTTTAGGGGCGCAAGGGGAGGGGCCAAGGCTGAGGGGCGGGGCTTTCCGCGGGGAGGGGCTTACCTGCTAGACTCATGTAGATTGGCTGGCGGGAGCGGAAGTGCCTCAGTGCGCCCCCCGAGCAGTTCCGCTCCTCGCACCGGTGCACGCAGTCGCGGTACACCGGTTCGCGGTCGCCCTGGGAGCCGCTTGCTAGCGCGGCTGCCCCAGCTAGCAGCACCAGCCGCGCCGTCCGCCCGGCCATCCCTTCAACCTGGCCCTCCGCCGGCGGAGGAGCTTAGGAGTCTTCACTTCCGGAGTAATCGGAAGTGCCTTGTGTTCTTTATTCTACTCTCCGGGGACGTCCCCCCACTGGAAATAAAAGTGCCCGGATTTCTGTGGGCGCCTGCCCCGCCCCTCGTCTTACTGTCATCTCCGTATATTGAGGCGACAGGGCTAGGGAGCAAAATAAACTGGTCTTTTATCAACATGCGTCCTGTTTCTTCTCCATGCTCTCTTTATTGGAAGTACGGTTATTTTCCTGTCACCAGCCCCGTCGAATTTCGCTTCCTAATATACCTGGAACTGCTCACTTATCTCCATTTCCATTGGCACCACCCTGGTTAAAGACATCATCATCTGTCGCCAAGACAGTCGCGGTAGCCCCTTCACAAGTCTCCCTGCCCCTACTTTTGTCCCCATCGACTCCGCGTTCCGTTAACAAATTCAAATTTGACCGTGTGACTTGTCTTCTTAAATTCTTTACCGGCTCCCAATTACCTCAGGATAAAATCATAACTCCACAAGCCCTGCACGATCTGGCCCCTGCGCCAGACCCAAGGGGCCATGTTTCTTAACCCTCCTGGCTTTGCCTCGTCTGTATCATTCCTACTCTCATGCCTGCTTATTTTTCTGGCCTCCATTTAAACACCATTTCTGAGGGTGTTAACACCTGGAGGGTGATGTAAGATAAAAGTGGTATGTTTTCCCCAAGCGGGGTGGGGACCTCTGCTGTCTTGTTTACCACTCTACTTGAAGCACTAGTACAGAATTTGGCTCATGGTAGGTGCTAAGAACTCATTTCTTTCTTTCTTTTCTTTTTTTCTTCTTTACTTTTCTTTCTATGAATGAACAACGTTAATTCAACGTAAGAATTTGGGTGCTAAATCCAGGGCTGTCAAATTACCAACGTGATGCAGACCACACTGAGATAGGAGAGGTGTAATATTTCAAAGAAAATCAAGAAGAGGACCTTTGGGAATAGGATACTTGCTCTAATATCCATCCCCTCCTCCCTACATCACCACCAGGACACACACGCATACCCATCTCATTGAAGCGTTGAAGCCTTGTAGCTAGATGCTTAATTAGTGTGTGTAGATTAATGACAGCTTTTCCTCATCTCCCACTCTCCACCCCGGGTCAACTTTTCCTTTTTACATTGAGAAGTAGAATGAGCAAGATGTAAAATTGGATTCCATTTACTTACTCATTTAGTAAACATTTCCTGAATTCTTAGCTCTAGCACCACGCTAGGCAAGACAAAACTCCCAGGAGGCACCATTCATATTTTATTTCCTGTGAATAGCGCTCAGGGGTGCACCATCCACATTGTATTTTCCATGAATGGTTCCTCTTCAAGTTAAATATAACATGAATAGTATCCCCTGGAGTTGAACACCCAGTTGATAATGATTGGGAAGCTGAAAGGAACAAAACAACCACTCAGCCCTCCAGGAGCTGACCAGAAGCAATTTAGTGCTAATACTACTTTGCATCTGATCGATCAGTCCTTTTCTACTACATTATTTCATTTTGTCGTTACTATAATTCTGGGATCAAATTTTTAATAAGCATCCTCATTTTTTCTAAGATTTTATTTATTTAGTTATTTATTTGAGAGAGAGAGAGAGCATGAGCACAAGTCAGGGGCCGGTGGGGGGGAGGCAGAGGGAGAAGCAGACTCCCCACTGAGCAGGACCTGAGCCAAATGCAGGCACTCAACTGACTGAGCCACCCAGGAGCCCCATTGAGCATCTTCATTTAAAGATGAGGCAATTTTTTTTAAAAAAGATTATTTATTTATTTATTTATTTATTTATTTATTTATTTATTTGACAGAGAGAGACACATCGAGAGAGGGAACACAAGCAGGGGGAGTGGGAGAAGGAGAAGCAGGCTTCCCACCGAGCAGGGAGCCTGACTCGTGGCTCGATCCCAGGGGATCGTGACCTGAGCCGAAGGCAGACGCTCAAACTACTGAGCCACCCAGGCGCCCCAAGATGAGGCAGTTTAAGGGTGCCTGGCTGACTCAGTCGGTAGAGCATGCGACTCTCTTTTTTTAAGATTTTATTTTTAAGTCATCTCCACCCAACGTTGGGCTTGAACTCACAACCCTGAGATCAAGAATCGCAGGCTTGATATAAATTTGAGCTCTACGCTGGGTGTAGAGATTGCTTAAAAGTAAAATTTTTTTTTTTAAGATTTTATTTATTTATTTCAGAGAGAGAGAGAGTGAGCAAGCAGGCAAGCATGAGCACGGGCAGAGGCAGAGGGAGAAGCAGACTCCCTGCTGAGCAGGGAGTCAGATGAGGGGCTTGATCCCAGGACCCTGGGATCATGACCTGAGCCGAAGGCAGAGGTTAACCGACTGAGCCACCCAGGTGCCCCAGAAATAAAATCTTAAAAAAAAAATGGGGAAATTTAGAATAAAAGAGGATAAAATCCTAACAAAGCAGGATTCTCCCTTTGAGAGAACTCCCAGGTAGAGATAGGGCTCTTTTTAAAACCTTTAAGTTTCTGATTTTGGAGGCCCCACCCTATATTACATCAAACATTAAAAACAAAGGGAAAATGTAAAAAGAACAATTTCAGGTAGTCACACGTGTGAAGTTATATAATTGGATAATGTAAACAAGGAGAGGCCCTAAGGGAATGAGGAGGGAGGAGAAGGCTACTTTCGGTCAGGTGGTCAGAGAAGGACTTTTTGAGAAGGTGACATTTGAGCTGAAACCTATATGACCAGAAGGAACCAGTCCTGCTAACACCTGGGGGCAGATTGTTCTAGGCCAAAGGAACAGCCAGTGCAAAGGCCCTAAGGTAGGAACAAATTTGGCATCTCTGGAAAACAGAAAAGAAGCTCGTGTGGCTGGAAGGCTATGGGATTGAAGTGACAACCAGAGACTAGATTCTTTCAGATCTTGGGTCACAGTCAAGAGTTTAGGCAATGGGAAGCCATTGTGAGATGTTTTAGCACTCGAACAAATGAAACTATGTTTAAAACATTTACTTTGGGGCACCTGGGTGGCTTAGTCGGTTAAGCATCTGCCTTCAGCTCAGGTCACGAACCCAGGGGTCCTGGGATTGAGCCCCGCATTGGGCTCACTGCTCAGCGGGGAGTCTGCTTCTCCTTCTCCCTCTCCCTCTGTGTTCTCTCTCTCTGTCTCTCTCTCTCTCTCTCAAATAAATAAATAAAATCTTTTAAAACAACAACAACAAAAATCATTTACTTTGGCTGCCAAAGGAAAAGGAGGGGGGTAGAATTGAAAGAGGGCAAGAGCAACACGTAGGAGATCAGAGGTTAGTGCTTTCACTAACCTCTGCTTTCACAGAGAAGACCTAATAGAGGTCGGTGGTGGAGGCAGGAAAAGCACAGATGTATTGCAAGAGGAATCCATAGATCTCAGAGAACGACTGGATGTAAAAGGCAAAAAGAAGAATCATGAACATGGGTCCAGTGAATGAAATCGTCTGAAACTGGAATTGTCTCCCCAAATCGGGACTTAGTGATTGCCACAGTCTTATGCTTCTGGAAACTTCCTGGCCTTCTCTTCCCCAGATTAAAAGCCAGAGGCAAGAGTGTCCTCATTCACACCCAAGGAGTCTGGATCACCAGCAGCAAGCCAGGGGAGTTTGGAGTCCTGAGGGCTGAGTAGAGCAGGAAAACTCAGTGTTTGTGAAACAAAGAATCTGGAATCTGGCAGACCGATGGCTCAATGGGGCTTTCAAGGGGTAAGCATGGGGTTGAAGGAGTCACTGCTCCCACACTGAAGTCTAAAGCACTGTGACCAGGAACTGTTCAATCCAACTCTCTCATATTTCAAACGGCAAAATGAAGCCTTATTCAAGACCACACAGCCCAGCTACTATCTGAGGAAAGATCCCTAGATAAACTGAGGGTGTGTGAAATGGCCGGCACAAATGCACAGACAGTGCAGGACACAGGAACACAAACCATGGCAGTCTTGTATGGGCAGGATGGAAGCCTTGTGTACTTCATGCATTAAAGCCAGGTAAGGCTGAGTGCATAAGAATGCTTTCTTGTCTTGGCAAAGCAGGCTAGAGAGAGAAAGGCAAACTCCCCAGGCCTTGGGCCTGCATTCCTGAGATGGGATGAGAAGGGCTGAGGGAGGTGATCAGCAGCAGGCCCAGGGTCAGCATGTCTGGTATGTTGGTTTGGGTTCTGCTCTTTTCTACTCAGGGACTAGGGCTAACCCTGGGCCCAGGGAGCAGCCTCCTGGTGGCTAGGTAGCAAGTGTTCTTAAAAGGCCACCTTTAGAAGGGCAGATTTTTTTTCTTTCTTCCTTCTTTCTTTTTCTTTCTTTCTCTCTCTCTTTCTTTCTTTCTTTTTCTTTTTCTTTCTTTCTTTTCTTTCTTTCTTTCTTTCTTTCTTCTTTCTTTCTTTTCTTCCTTCTTTCTTTCTTTCTTTCTTTCTTTCTTTCTTTCTTTCTTTCTCTCTCTCTCTCTCTCTCTCTCTCTTCCTTCCTTTTTAAAGATTTTATTTATTTGACAGAGAGAGAGAGTGTGCACAAGCAGGGGGGACAGCAGGCGGAGGGAGAGGGAGAAGCAGGCTCCCGATGCAGGGACTCAATCCCAGGACCTCAAGATCATGACCTGAGCAGAAGGCAGATGCTTAACCGACTCAGCCACCCAGGCGCCCCTAGAAAGGCAGATTTTCTTATCAGAAGCTTCCAAATTCCACTCTGCTATGGCCCCAGGGAGGCCTTGTGCCTACTCTTGGGGGACTCCTTCCATGTAACTAATTCACACAGATGCTTCCCCAGCAACTCGTGCGCCAGACTCAAGGCCCTGTGGGGTAGGCCCCAGTTTGTGGCCTGGACCTCGAACTGTGGACCGTCTCCTCCCTTTTTCTGTTTGTTTTCAGTCCTCTGACCCCAGGTTGGCTGGTGAGGTAGGCAAAAGGGAGGAGACTCTGGTGCCAACACACACGTGGCCTCCTGTGTCCCCCAGTCTCAGTGGCTGGTCAATGATTGACTGGCATTTCACAGGCTGCTAGTTTTAGACCCCAGCCTGTTGACCCTCAGAGG